GTACTGAATGGCTTCTGAAGTAAGTGGCATGAAAGAGAAATATCTCCTTCCACCACTGCTCACAAGCACCTCGAGTGAGAACCATAAAGTGTTTGTGAGTGAGGGATTTAAGTCTGCTCTTTTGACAGGTTTAAACCCAGCCATCCAATCTTAATCCTATGGGCAAAATGCTCTCTTGCAAAGGATTCAGTCATCTGCTTTCAACCTCTGACACTGACAGAAAAATACACATTTCCAAACATCACATCCCCATTGTGCCAGGTTCCAACACCCATATCCTTGTAATTTCCAACTTTTGACAGTCACTTTTGGCATAAAATTTGGATGACATACGTACAAGTCTACAAAAACACAAGATATGCGACAATCTCTGAGGAAGCATCCACCCTCTGGTTACACATATTGAAAAACAAAACCAGAAACATGATTTCCCTTTTAAAGTACAGATATTTCCTGAATTTCTTAAAGCTGCTATGAAGAACTTTTGGGTCATTTTGGTTTTGGCGCCCCCTGTGGACAACATTATAACTCTCATCTCTAGTCCTGTATATGTAAAAGTAGTGTTTCCAGACCAAAACCTCATCCTGTTGTCGTTTAACAGTAAAATGTATCACTCGCTTTAAGTATTTTGCTAGTCATCTGCTCCGACATCTCGCAGCAGTTTCAGGCATTAAAAATAACAACCGAAAGGAAATCAGTCAATTTGTTGATCGTCTTATTTGCTTTTGAAGATCATATAGAAGCATCAGTCAGTACGTTTACATGACACTCAAGAAAAACAAATTAATGCCTTACTTCGATTGAGACCAGACAACTGAAGTGCATGTTAACACCTTAGTCTGACTATACAAACTCGGATTGGAGTCGGAGAACTCAGATTAAGACACACAGAGAGAGCGATTGGAATTCAATTTTCTCTACCATGTAACCAGCGTAGTCGGAGTATGATTGGACAATGCGTGTGCACCACGCCCCCGTAACCCCGTAACAAAAACACCAGAGAAGAGGAGTAGCGTGCACCTCATCTACAGAAAAAGTAGTGCATACATCATGTACAACAAAAACAACACTGTACGATGCTCCATCTTCTTGCTCAAAATTGGCCAGCAGCAGTTGTAGCCACTTCTGACGTATGGCATGGACCCGTTGTTGTTGTTGTTGGGTCAACCAGAAACAGCGCCGCTGTAAAGACCCATATTGCTCCCTAGTTTTGGGGAGGAGGACACGTTTACGTCACTACTTCGATTTTCTCAGCTGCATAAATACACGGATGAGAAGAGAAGCCCGATTCGGCGGTAAAAAAAAGAATTGCATGTAAACGCACTGACTATCAGTTTCAGTCTTTTTCTTAGCCAGTAAAAAAAACTCCTTCCAGTGCCTTTAAAAACTCTAATTTCTATTAAATTATTGCATTACAGCACTGTTGACAGTTTAGCCTGGTGCCTCATCAAGACCTGTCTGTTTCCTTTCTAACATGAAATTAACCTGTTTTGTTTGCCTCAGAAAAATAAAAAACTACATGATATTTCTTTTAGAGGGGAAAAGGAAAAGGACGGGACTTGACATGACAAGACTTGACCTCTGATTTTTGGAAAAGATACGAGTTGTTTTACCTGTCCTTGCCTGAAAACCACCTGGTCCTCTGATAATCTGTCCAGTGACTTTACACTGTAGTTAGTCGAGATTATTCTGCTTGAGGGGACCTTGTGCATCTCTGGGTGACGACAAAGGCCAATTCAGTAATACTTTTTCCTACTTTAGCATTGGGATGTGGTTTCGAAACAGGTAAGAGAAATCATTTCACTTGGTTATCTTTGCCTTGGTTGTAGGGCCCTCTCTTCCAAGGGCTTTACCAACGTAGCTAGCTGACAGCTGGTTTTGTTATTTAAAAGACAAGCCATTGCAAATGCATAATTCATGAATTCAAAAAAAGTCTTTTCACTTCATTTTACCTTTGCTCTAACAAAACGATAAAGGTGTACGTTCATAACAAAAGTGAGGAAATTTTCATTCACACATAATCTAAACACATCCATGCTCTGAAGAAGAGGTTGCGTCAAGGTAAGTAAGTTGAAGAAAAAGCGTGGGTGGACAATCAATCTGTGGGTCTTTCAACAATTCAAAAGTTACTGAGGTTTATTGTCATCTTGAGTGGCAGATTGCTGAAGGGAATAAATTAATACATTTCTCTTCAACACTTCTGCAACACTACAACAAAGCATTTTCCTCTGCGCATAAGTGACTGTTTTTATTTTTAGCCGATTTATAAAAGGTTTTTATGATCATGAAAGTTTCCGGCCAAGAAATATAAAAGATTTTCAAACTGGTCATTAAAGTCTGAGCCAAAGTAACGGCTTTGGCAAAGTCTTTACTTTGATTTTGATTTTTTTATTTGTGGGTGTTTTGTTTGTTGTTTCACTTTAAACCACATTGTCACACATGCTGCCTCAGCCCTGTCTAATTTGCACTATTGCTGTGGACACCAGGGATAGCGACTGCTAAAAGAGATCAATACTTAAGAAAAAAAAAAAAAGCGCTCCCACTAAAACTTCTGCACAGCCATGGACTCTTTCCAGCAAGTGTTCTTAACATTGTAAGACTTTGCCCTCCAGGGAATCAGATGAAATCTGGTGTTTTTCTTCCCTGGGTTCCTTAATAGGTCTCCTGGGCCCTCCAACCAATATGTGGCAAAAGGGAAAATAAAAACATTGATAATTTCTTAGTTATGCATAGAAGAGAGAGTAAGACACACCTCCTGAATGCTGTTCTGCTCTTCTTTCTATCCCCAAGACATTTTAGTGCTCATTTTGTTTTTCCAATGCAGCGTCCCCTTTACCGCAGCCATATGCACTTCTTCTCAAGCTGTAAGAAGCAGTCACATAATTGATAAGGAATCTATTGCCTGCTCTTAAACAGACAAACACCCCCTCTAGGCATTTTTAAGCCATTTGGATGCCGGCTTATGCTCGCTCTCGTGCTGAACATAATGGCAAACTAATTTTTATCAGTGCACTTTTACTTTTCCAGACCAGACTTTAATGTGTTATCTTACAGCAATCTGAGAGATCAATGTAAGCACAGTTGAGCAGATTAGTGGATGGTGTGAACAAGAGAGGACATATGAGGTCAAACCATAACTCTGATCCCCTATCATTAGACTTATTTCTTTCATTTCATTAATTATATGTTAGCGGCAGTCACTTTCTTCAAAGTGAGAGCTGCTAATTGGCTTAATCTTGCTACTAACTGCCTTTGTTTACCTTGGCCTGACAGATCACGAGTGTATTCCCCTGTGAGTTTTAAAAACACACCTACATTCAGAGGAGAAAATAGATCCAAACGGCCACAGCTTTCGACTCATTTCTTCCTGAAGATAGCGGCTAAATTGTCACAGCTACAGTGCCTGCACCTAACCCCATGAAATGAATTTTTAATGACTTTTATATTGCATGTTACTAACACCAGTTTCACTGTCTTTTAAAGTATTTTCTAAGAGGAATGAACTCATTCAAATAACTTCAGGTCCCCGCTGTGTGTGAGGAAAAACCTGGAACTGCTCTCATAAGTGACTCTCTCAAAAAACTTGCGAATTAGGTCCTGATCCATGAGATTTAAGAGCTCAACTTATCATGTCGGATTCACACAATCGCTGCAGGGAACCAGTCGGCATATGAGTAACTGTTGCAGTTTTTTTTTTTTCCTTTCCTGCCCTCCTGTGGGGGGAAAACAATGACTCTGTTTCAGACATTTTTCATAAGAATGCCTGAGAGAATGAAGAAACCTTTTATGGTGATTTCCTCCTGATCGTTTTTCTCTATTACAGCAAAGGGACACTGGGCAATTAAAGCCAACTGCCATACATGGAAAGCTACTACATATCATATCTGTGGATCTACTCAAATCCCCATTGCAAACTATAGAGGAGAAAAAGCCGACTTTTTCCGTAATGTTTCATTGATAACTTATTTAGACTAAACTCCCTTTAGAAAGGTTTGTAATAAGTTCAATTTAACCTTGCCTCAACAGCTTATATCACAACAGAAAAGAAATTACCTACAAAAAAGACAATTTCACAAAAGCCAAACACTGAAAATGTGTCTGTTTTGTTACAGGATACACAACCGTGGGGATGCTATAGTTTTCCAACTCCAAATTCTCTTTTTTCTCATCAATCAGGGTGAGACAATCAAACCCTTCTGAATTACTTTCCTGTATGATGGTTGCTTGGCATCCCCGGCTCGTGAGGTCTAAGATCTGGCCTGTCTCCCTCATCTCTCAGTACCCATAAGGCCAGAGAAACATTGTCCTGGTCTTACTACAATGTGATCTACCTTCAATAGACAAAGGATTCCAGCTGGGCTTATTCCTCTTTTCTTTCAACCTCTTCCCAGTGACAGATGGGACCAAAACTAGGAAAAAAAAAATCCTTGAAGACAAAGAAATTAGTGCCTTTTATATGGATCCAGAGCAGCTAGACACACGGGATGTTTGGCAGGGGCTGGGAGAGGAGTTGCAGCCTTTCAGTATCATTTTACCTCTCATTGTTGCAGGAGAAAAAATTACACTATAGTAGAAGAGCCGTACAAAGCTCCAATATAATAGAAACCTGTCTAACACATTGTTTGTATTGTTTTGACAGAACACAAGAGCTGTACACCTCAATAAAAATAGAAAAATGCACACGCTGACAAATGTATGCTCTCATATGCGCGCTCTCTTCCTATTATTACCAAACATACATACTCACATGCACATACACACACTCACACACACCTCTGTGAGCTGGTGATAACTGCTTAGCAGTGTATGCTCCAACAATTGTCAGGCTGCCAGGGCAAAGAGAGCCAGGAAAAGGAAGAAGGGGAGGGTGAAGGAGCAAGCTATGAGTGGCACCACAGAGTGGATACAAGGAGAATTAGACAGGTGCCACGGGGAGAGGTTGGCAGAATGAGGGAAAAGGTAGATGTTGGGAAAAAGGTGGCGGGACAGATAACAGCAGAATGGGGGAAAAAGGGAAAAAAGATGGAAAAGACTTCAAGATTTCAGCAGATGACAAGACCTGCGCAGACGACTGGAAGAAAGAGAGACGGGGAACTGAGAGGACAAAAGCAGAGGAGGTGGGAAAGAGGGAGGGAAGTGGGGGGGACACAGCCAAAGAAAGGATATAAAAATGGAGAGAAAAAATAGCAGAGAAAGTGTGAAAAGGAAAAGAGAACAAAACAAAACCATAGTGGGTGAATGATAATGTGTTGTGCAGGCACCTCCACCTCTACTGGATGCAACACTCCCACTCCTTTCATGGTCTGCAGTCTGTCATCAACACCCATCTCCAAGGACGGCGCACAGGCAGGGCTCCGTCAAAGCACGTTGTAAAAAAAATCACCCACGACACAGGTGAGTAGAGCTGTTCTCTTGTCTTAATTTTACTTAATTTGCCGTAACACCTCACCCCATCTCACATTATGTTAAGGAAGGAGGGAAGGAGAGTGAGAGCAAGAGGATGTGATAAGTCAAAGCGGGAGGTAGTGAGAACGAGATGGTGTGGGATTGAAAGGAGGCAGTGTGTGTACGTGTATGTGTGTGTGTGTGTGTGCGTGTGCGTGTGCGTGTGTGACAGATAGACTGTTGTTGGTTCACGGTCAGCAGTCCACCAGCACCACCATGTGGATGAAACACCAGGGCAGAGACGTCACAGCACAGAGGTCGTTCTATTTAATCTCCTTAACACGTAAGACTCATTCAGAGCAACACATTTTCACCTGTAAGCATTGAGTCACAATCAGCCTCTTATTATAAGCTTACTACAGTACACACATAAAAACCCAAAAGCACACTAAGAAAGATATGTATCACTCCTCAAAAACCCTTTAAACAGATCTACATTTGGTCATCTACATAAGCACTTGAACAGTTGATCTAGAGCCATCACTTAACATGAAATAAAATCACATGTGCTTGCATGTTCTTGCTGTCAACCAGGTCCTATCTAGGTCACTGTATGCTGCTCTGCTGTATCCCCATTCGTCCATGTCAACAACTGACCTGCTTATCCTCCCTGCTTGCCTCTTCCTCCACTGCTGTGTAAAACCATTTAGCTTTGGATGAGACAACCATTCAGTTTGCAGGGAAGAGATTGCTGCCCAAGTTTAAAATCAATCACATCGACCTCGGAGAAATGTCCATTTCAAATGTGCTGCTGCGGTGCCGGACTGGCTTTGTCTGTAAAGCCAAATTGTCTGATTCTCATTTGTACCTGATCAAAACCACAACAAGAGAAAAGGCGAAGAAAAATCCTTGATTACGAAATTATTGCAGCATTTATACAAAATGAAAAAAAAATGAAGGGCGAAAGAAACAACACAATCGCCAAGAACAGAGCAACAACACACTTAAAAATCTTTACAAATAAGCTCATCTAAATTCATAGTTTTCATGAAGTCTTCTCTCGTTTTCTCTTCATTTTTTCTGTAACTTTTACCGACAACATCTTTGGCTTATATCATAGTAAATTCTGTTTTCTTAAAGCTGCTGTATGAAACTTTTGATTTCTTTCAGTTTTGGCGCCCCCTCTGGTCAAAGTGATAATAATAATAATACATTTTATTTATAAAGGGCCTTTCATGGCACTCAAAGACACTTTAGTAGGAGGAAAAGACAGTAGTGGATTGGATAAACAGGTGGGTTTTTATGAGGGTTTTGAACTTTGATATGTCAGTAGAGTCCTGGATGTGAGGGTTCCAGAGGGAGGGGGCAGCTACGGAGAAAGCCCACACCTCAGAGCAGGGGTGAGTAGCTTAGAGTCTGAGGATGGGAGGGTGCAGGAAGGAGTGTAGAGGTGGAGCAGGTCAGTAAGGTAGGAGGGGCCTGATCATGGAGGGCTTTGAAGGTGAGAAGAAGGATTTTAAACTCAACGCGTTGGTGAACAGGTTGCCAATGGAGTTTTTTGGGGGACTGGAATGATGTGGTTTTGTAGCGGGGGGTGATGGTAGTCTTTTCACACAAACCTCATCCCGTTGGCATCAGAATCACTTTCACCCCACTTCCCCACCAGTGAAAAATTCCTCACAGCGCCTTTAAATGCGAATGACTTACTAGCAGCTGCTGCTTCTTTGTCTTGCCTCCGTTTTATTGCAATCAGCACAAAGAATCACAATTGCCCCCATACTATGAAACAGTCTGCTACATGGGATTACCATATGCTCTTTTTTTTTTTTTTACATAATGTCACTTTTTTCATGGTAGCATAATGCAACAGCCTTGTTTTAAAAGCTTGGTGAACTACGGGAAAAAGAAGTGACATCTGTTCCAGTTTCTAAATCAAAACCCTTCCATACCGCCATTTTTCTGCAGTGTTTACATTTTTTGTTTGATGTCCGTCATCCTTATCATGTGAATACTGACCACCTGGACAAGCCATGTGCTGCATCATGTACATAACAAACCTAAGCACTAAAGAAGAAGTTTAGCTACACAAACAAAGTAGGTCCAAACTTTCAAATCGATGTCAGGCACTTGGAATAATAAGTTCATCTTCATTTCTGTGAACATAATGGTGCTACAGAGTTTGAGAGGTGACTGGTTGCTGCAGATAGTTGTGGATTTACAGTAAGTCATGTCACTTAGTAATGCTAAATTTGCAATGACACTCAAGTCCAAAATGGAAAATCAGTGTGAGGCTGCATTAACTTTTATGGACTTGTATCAAGAGGTATTCTGAGAGAATGACACTAAATAAAAACACCATCAAAAACACCTGCAGCAGATATGTTAAATCACTCTGTTTTCTTACATTTGCACCATCTGTAGCATGGAAGACAATGATCCTAACAGACTATCACGTAATCTGGTGTATGTGAAGTCTATAGGGTGTGTTGATGCATTCTCAGCTGGAGCTATGGAAGAATTTAATGCAACAGTTGTCACAATTGGCCACAACTGTGTCTCTTACAATTCTGCCCACACACATACACACACACACACACACACACACTTTTATTCCACACCACACCAGAGGATTTTTGAGTGGAAGGATAAATCTATGGAAACAACTCAATCACATTACCTTATGTAAATACCCGAGGCAGCCCCCAGTCTCTCTCTCTTGACCACTACGTTAGCTTCCAGCCCTATAGCTCCTCTGGCACACAAATGCACACGGGGCAAATTAACATTTGCTCTCATAGTCTGCAAATGGCAGCTCGTGCTTCCCATAGAAATGAAACAGTGGCCCTTGCAGGAGATAGAATGAGAAAATATTTGAGCTGGGAGCGATTAATAATTCGTCAGGCAGAGCAGTAACATTTGCTTTTAGGAGCGACAGTGGATCGACTGAATGGGCTTCCTCAGGAACTTTTGAATCAAAGCTGTTTTATTATTGCCAACTTCATCTTCCTCTACACATTTACAAGCATCACTTTGCACTTTTTTATGGACCGTTTAAAATAAGAGGCTGTAAGTCTAATATTTCTCCCCATATATCACGGGTCGTTTTTAAAACTATGAGAGAAAACCAGGCTAATTCGAAGAAATTAAACAGAAGCCTTGGCTGTTCTTTAGCAATAACAGCTCTTTACAATAGAAAGAATACATGTCCTAATTACAATAAGAGCAAAAAGACTTCTTAATGCTATGCTTCATTATTCAAATACAGCTGTTAGCCCACAGTCATAAGGCTCTGAATGCATGTAATTATTTGACATTTTCAGCTGCATAAATGTTAAAGTACGGAGGCAATGATTGATCACTGTATCGCAGAAATGCAGTAAATGATTTGCTGGGCATTGGGGATAAATTTATGTCCAGAGTTTCTCTACATCAGGGCTCCACTCTACAACACTTATCAGTCCATTAAGGCTGTGATCACTCAAAGGGCTAAATGGGACAGAGTTATTGTAAGAAGGGAGGGAAATGGGACACAACCTCCTGCTGAAACTCCACAGGCACCACACGAGGAGCACCTACCCCATTTGCCACTCAAGATGTTTGACTCAAGGCGAATCTTGCTGCAGATGGCTTTTCTCTGCTCGGCTGTAGTTTGATCCTGCTGTGGAAATATGCTGTTTCTTTAACGCTTGAACAAGACAGACAGACATTTCAAGAGAAATAAGGCACATCTGTAAGATGCAGTTTCTCGCAAACAACATCCAACTGTAAGTGCAGCGGTGAAAGCTCATTTTATACCAAAGGAACTATTTTTTTCCAAGGAGACGGCTGGCAGATCGATACTTTATGTACTGTAATTTAAATGCATTCTTCAGGAAACACTCTGGATTCAGCCCACTGACTTCATCTGTTTCTTGCCTCCCCACTTTAATAATTAAATGTTGGGTATATGGTGCATTAACATCTGCTATATGGTGAAGTTTTATCCCAGCCTCGGGACTTGTAGTTACCCTGAGGCATCTTAGCTCAAACACATGGCCAAACACCTTGGAAAGAAGATTCTTATTTTATAAGATTCAACAGTGTTTTTTTCAAGCAATTTGACAATTTACAGGTTTACTTTTTACTTTTTTTAGAGATGTCAAAAAGAAAGGGCTTGGATCTGATCCTGTCTGTGTTCACATCGGCTACGATCTTTAGCTGTATGTCACCCTCATTCTCTACTCCCAATATACTCTTGTATCAAACAAATGCAAAATTGACAGAAAAAAAAAACTCTCAAAAATCATAAAAAAAAATACAACTATTGCCAGTCCTTATGTCTTTTGGCAACAACACAAGCCCCAAAGTATTGGTCTTCCCTCTTAAAGTCTTTATGGCTCTGACTTAATCGCAGAATAGTTCTAAGATTGGATATAAACCAACACTGAAAACTCATTTGCCATTGTCTGATGTCAATAATGTATTTGGGCGTTATAACCAAACATAATAACAGCCAAGACTTTTTTTTCATACCACTGCTTATAGGCCGACTGGCTCTACCTGTGTTGCTAAGTCTGTTTACAAAAATCGGATCTAAACTGACGACAGATGACCACCAATTGCTTTCAGGGTTGCTTTATGTCCACTGTATTTTGCCTCTTTTGCACTCAGCTACAAGCAGCTGTGGACATGCCCAACATGCCCATGTTTGAGTGATTGATTGATGATGATCAAGCACAATGCAAATCAACATTAGGGAAAAAACTTTTTTCACCCTACCTGCTGTCAAAGTAACAAAGTAAAACTAGTAGTAGCAAAGGTGATTCTGTGAAATGTAGTGGAGTGAAAGGATACTTTAATTTTTTGAAATGTAGCCAAGTAAAGGTAAAAGTAGCGGGCACAAAAAAAACTCCAGTAAAGTACAAAATTATACTATATTATACTATAAGTACTGTACTTAAGTATTGCTGCTTACATACTATACAACACTGGCCAACTGACAGACAAATAGCACCAAATTTATAAACTCTGTTAATCGTTCTGCAAATCAGTTTGTCTTTACCAATTAATAAAGATTCGAGATTGTCTCAGTAAAGTCAAGCACTTACAGTCATTGTCGTTAATTTTGAATATATCTTTTATTCTGATAACCCAATAGAAAACAACTGGAACAATACTGATCAAGTTCGCCATAGCACCAATTTAAACCTTGAATTCTACCAGGGAGGCAGAGGAGTGTTTGCTGGCAGGTAGGTAGGTTGGTGAGTTAATGAGGGAGGTAGAGTGGAGACTGGGGAATGAGTGAATGAATAGGAAAGTAAGATATGATAACCATGAATAATTTTCTTCGTGATTGATCAGGATGTTCCAGGTGCTCTTCAGAAAGCTTCTGCCTGTTCTGGATTTATGAAATCAATTCTGGCTAACACACAGTCGTGTTCCTCCAGGAAACCGCGAAGAAGTCTAATGAGCTGTTTTAAAAGCAGATGAATGGTGGTCAGCCTCCTGTTGTTGATGCTGTTGTTGGCCTACCTGGTTGTCATTCACCTTAGCAGCTAGTCAATCGCAGTCAACTTCAAGGAAAAGCAGCTCCTTTGATGTGCGGGCTTGAATGATGCTGATTATAAAGACTAGAGGATATTAGAGCATACGTGCGTGCACACCCACTCCCAAACACAGCGTACAATAAGCATTGCACGCTCATTCACAGCAGAGGTGTATAACCTTGGCTTACTTATTTGAAGAGCATCTTGATCAGAGTATCTGTCAGACAGTTCCTCTGACATCACACGCTCTGTTTCCTTCAAAACATCAGAGCCGTCTTCATTAGATTGGAGGTGTTTCAGCCTTGAGTGGGGCAATAACAGGCGCAGTCAGCTGCTGCTCTCCTCATATTACTGCTGTGGCATCAAGACTGGAGCCAAGAGTCACGCTTAAAACGCAACACTTTAACATCCTTCTTTTTTAAAAACACTTCAACCTTCGACTTCGCTGCTTTTTCACGTGTTTCTGGAAAGGACTCAAAGAAAGAAGAGGAGTCAAATGTATCCAGTAAGTGGACTAATCAGACTCAGACACTGTGGTAAAAAAGGAAGTGTACAAGGCACTACACAAATTCAACTCTATCCAGAATCGCTGCAGTGATTTGATCACAATCTCAAAAGTATATTTTTTAAATTAAGCAAAAAAAAAAACAAAACGGAGTAATTACAACTATTTTGTTTAATCAGACAGACTTAAGTTTAAGAGATATTTCAAAATCATGGAGCTCATGGACACAAAACACATGCAAGGACAACACAAAATCCATTTCACAGCAGCCATTTAAAAAATATGTTGCTTTTTTAATCACAAAATATCACTAATTACTTAATTCCTTTACTAATGGTGTTCCTGTGTTTTTTGTTTGTTTGTTTTGTAATTTTATAGAAAAATAGTGCAATTTTATTTAACCTTCATCGCAGGAGACTGTCTCAGGGTTTTGTCGAATTTTATCCGCTGCTCGGTTGTTCATCTCTCACATGGAGCATCCAATCTCCTTTGTTTCCACCCTTCCTGTCTATCATCTCCTGCTTTGTTATTCGATTGAAATAAAGGAAAAAAGGGAAACAGCAGATGAGTGCTTGAAATATCCTACTGAGACTAAAAGCCTCATTTCCGATGGTGTCCTAGAAACATAAATCTCATTATAATTTCCGACATCAAGACAATCTACTTTGGAATAACACAAAATTATGAGTAAAGCTAAAAAAAGATTTTAAAATAAACATATCGAGAAAGCCAAACAACTTCAAACCATACATATGCATGGGGCGCCTTCATCGAGATGAAGCAAAAGCTCTGGGATATCAGGGGAAGAAACAAATAAATGCATGTTGAAATCTTTTGAAAGTTTTGAACAATAATTACCAGTGATGTTTTTCTGTTGCAAGTTGGACCCCAAGAAAAGGACAATGTTTTTTATGCAAACATCGAATCAAGGCTTTCAAAAGTGAGCCAAAAGAGACATGCATACACGACTTAAACCATTTCATGTATGTCTTACGATCACGTTTTAAAGTGTGGTATGTTTTCTTCTGTATACCTTTGTTTATAATTGAGCTCAATAAGTAATGACACTGCAGTCCCTCCCAAAAGCAGTCCTTTATTCTCCAACCCAATCCTTATTATCAACTTGTCTGGGCTTTAAATTCATTTCCTGCACTGATGAATGTGGAGTCATTTGGGGTGGGAGGAACGGAAGCAATTTAGATCCCTCATCCAATGGTAATTCCTGCGGGGACCTAAGATTACAAAGTGATAATGCTGATAGCAGTCTTTTCAGCTGTTGACATAAACAGAAAATGGAGGCTTTTGTAATGTATGATAATACAGCTATTTGCTGCTGTTTGCTGCGAGGAATACAGTTTTAAAGATACTTTGGGGACTCTGCTCTGTGATATTCCCTGCATTCACTCCTCTCTGTGTTGTGAGTTAGACTCAGGGAAATTTTAAATGCATATACACCGCACATCTATGACACCCGCTGCACACACAGCTGAATTAGTGGAGGAAATATTTAATGTTAGTCCAACACAGCTCCTTTGATGCACAGCACACCGCCTATCTGGTTGCATGCCTTTTCCATAAATCATCAACTGTTGCACAAACACAGCAAAACAGAGAGCAGGCATTTCACTTTGTAATGTCAAGGCTACAGTAACAAATAAATCTATGACAGTGTTTAATCCAGCTATTATTGCAATTTGAGACTGCATTGTCTATCAATAACACAAGAATGCAAGTATTTACAGTGAGACACACATCAAGTACAATGTCTGTTTTTTCAGTGTATATTGCAGACACCGTGTTGGTGTTACTGAGGAAACCCTGGCTAATATATTACTTTGCTCTTACTGAGTTCATCTCTTTCTTAAATAAATCATTTCGAAGTACAAACATAATCAGCGATTACAGCTGATCCAACAAAGCCTTCAGATGGGATTTTTTTTCTTCGGTGTTTTCGATGGACAAATCTGGAGTAAATCTGCCCAATGATACTTTGGTGTGTCTCCAACTAGAGAGTTGGCACCTCAGCACAGTCAGTCCAATAAGCAAATATTGGCCACACAAAAATGGTGGATAGGAACTTGTGAGGACTGGCAGACTGTATATTTAATTGTGAGGCAGGGTGGTGGATAAATAGATAAATGGTTCTCTATTGTCACACAGTCTTTGGGATTCTAACAATCTCCTGGTGTTTCCTCCCCAAAGGCTTTGTTCCAGAGCTGATGGCACCCCTACAGAGAATACCTCGACCACAATGTCTTTTATGTTTAAAACCACGTTTTTCACTCCTGTACTCATGACTCTTAAACACCTTTTATGATGTTTCTGAATAACAGTCTCGATCAATACAGTTGCTGTTGTTTGTTGAATGAACAGATGTCAGCCACACATAATTAAAGGTAGACTTTTTAAGGCATCCTGCTCATTATATCTGATTATTCATTTCATTCATTTCTCATGGAAACTACTTGACGCTGTCTCTTAGATTTACTTCCTACATTGTTTTGATATGTTTGCATTGTGTCGCTCTTTTTTCAGTGCAGCGGTAGATTGATGGAATAAATCCAGAGGTGACCATCTGTCATGTAGTTGACTTGTTTTATCAAATATTGAAACGTTCATGCAAGAGCTGAACATTTTTTTCACAGCTTTATTGTTATCACAGTGTGAGCATTCACACTTGACACATTGCAAAAGTCTGAATTCATCGCATTGAATAATAAACAAGATATATCACATACTTTTTTTAACCCAACATGCATATGCTTTAAAAGTTGGATGGATGATGGCCATGTTGCAATACAATCTTGATGCAGTCAGAGAAAGATTATTTGTGACCCTTGGATTAATTGATATTAAAAAAATAAGTGATTTATTTTAGGTCAAGGAGAAACCTATAGCAAATGCAAATATTGTGTAAAACACAAAGAACTGCAAATAATTACAAAAGCTGTGACTGAAAGCTAGTATTCCATCTTTTAACTTTAATCATCTCACTTGATATTGTTATTAGCATACTAAAAAATGCTACCGTACCTTCATGTATCATTCATACTAACTGTAAATACTTTGAACTTTCCTGGTTGCTTAAAGAGAGGCATTCAAGTTTAATGTGCATGTAAGTGAATACAGTATACAGTGCAGTTAAAGACCCCAGAATCAGGGTAATGGTCGTGTTTGATGTCCCCTTCTTTTTAAACCTTATGAACTGTTACACTCTTTATTTTGCAGATATTATTGCCTTCAATGAATATAAAACATACCATCACTGACTATTTGCAGGTTTATTTACAGTCAATTCAGGAGTTATCAGACCATCAAATAACAAAAAGGTGCCAACAGCACAGATGAGGTAGAAGAATCCTAATCTGACCAAAATGATGGATTTGTCACCTATCAAACATGACCTCACTTTTTTCTTTAAACATCTCCCTTAAGTACCATATTCTCACAAAACCACAATCTCACATTTTAAACCTAACCACTTTTTTATAGTTTCATGGTTTTAACCTCATAAATGAGTGGATTTTCAAGGCTGGGTTTCAAAAATTAATCACTCATTTTACTATTCAAGAGTAAGAATTACCACAGTATTCAACTGGCAAATACAAAGATCTAATTATTGTGTCTGTTGCTGAAATATGTTCACTGCAAAAAGGATTAGAGTGCAGAAAAAAAACTTGGCTGCTTTACATTAATACAAAGACTTTCAGCAGACTTGTGAGAAAACGACAAATAAAACCTCTGAGATCTAATCTGTTTGCAGCTGCTTTGCTTCAGGCCAACGTCTTGCTTACTGCACCAAACTTCTGTCCTTAAAAGCATTGTGTGTGTTCAGTGTGTAAAATGAGCCTCGGGGGTTGCACAGTTTAACAATCTTCTTGTTTTTATTTTTAATTTATTTTTATTTAAATAGTTTACAATAAGCCAGAAAATTTACTGACCGCTGCGGCACATCATGATATCAGTAATAGTGATGAGAAAATTAGGGCAAAAAGCCAAAAGCCAAGAGTCGGTATGACACAGAGTCAATATCCCAACTGCATAAAATGGTCCACTCTGCTGCACAGTTCTCCAATAACGTAATGAGACCGATGAACAATTAAACGTCTGAAACCTTTCAAGGCTGGAGATAATTTCAAGTGACTTAATGGTTTATTTATTTATTCAATCATAATAATGGGATATCCATGGGAGTAATGGAGCTCCATCGGTCCCTGCCACCCCCTAGGGCAACAGATGTTTCACAGACCATATGGTGTCTTCATTTCTTTCACGGTTTCTTTCTCCCCCATCCCTCTCTTTTTCTCTCTCCCTCTCTAATCTCAACTTTTGTTGTTTTCTCTGCTTTTGCATAGATAAGTCCAATGAGACCCATAAGGTGTTGAGGGATTTCAGAAGCCACAGAAAGCTTTGTGGGTTTGGTGGCTTTTGTGTGAGGTTCAGTGATTTAGGAAGACCTCAGCGTTGAGCCACTGGCTCTTTACCAAATTGAGTGAAGCCAATTTAGATGGTTTTGGCATCTTACACGAAACCCTAGGCACAGTCCTGGAGGCACTCTAAGCATGATCAACAGGAATAAGACCAGTGCAGAGACCCAGAAGACACTGGAGGCTTTAAATCTCCCATTTAGCCAAAGAAGATACACATGAAGAAGAAAGCGTGTGGGCTTCAGTAATCTCACCGTGACCCTGACCTGGATTACGGAGTGAAAACACTATTGATGGATGCAACCAAAAATAGTGTGGCATAGACATCCTTCATGAGAAACTACACGTGTTGCATGTTCTGAATTGCTTGTTGTATATTATCTGACCCTGGTCCTGATTGGGTTCTCGGACCAAAGAGGTCTGAGAATTCACTTTGATGTTGCTCACAACAATAGCACCACTACTCAGGAGGTGAGTGTTTTGCTGATTGTGTTCTGCACTGCCTGTCTGATTCCTCCTGTCGTTCAGTGATTTTAGTCCCTGGTGTCTGCAGTGTTGTAAAGTGCCCGTTGTTTTCGAGCTCTATATAAGCTGAGCTCAGAGAGAGGAACAGTCCAGATATATTTTGCCTCTGACTTATATCGTAGGAACTAGTAAAGGCTGTTGAAGGAGATTTTCTTCACAATTATTCCCACAGATCAACCCCGATGTCAAGTATACTTCAATTATAAGTGAAATCTTGCACACTGTTACTGGCTATTTTCACAGTTTTGTCCTGATATAGAATTTGTGAAACTGCCTCTGTCAACCAAAAATAGAAAATAGCAGATGGTGCAATGCCTGCTTGATATTGTTTAGCGTTTTCATTGTTATTGATCACGGTCACTCTCGCCCACATAAGTAAAGTAAATTCAAACATTTCAATTAATAAGACATATATCAATAGTAGCCACAGCACAGCAAAGTGGAACATTGTCTACTTTACTAAACTTTAATAAACATGAGTAAACCTGCTAGTTGACACCAAATAAAAGCACATCAGTCACAGAAGAATAGCAGGAAATTGACCACAGAAAGGCAAAGCAACCTGCTGTGAGTATGTCATTTTCTTTATACTGATTCCAGCTGCTATACGCTGCTGCTATGCTCAAAACACGCCTTCAGTGGCATGACGCTTCTGCTTCAGTTGTTCAACGGAGCTGGAACGTGACACTCATGGAAAACAACCAACACACATCCTGTTTTAGGCTTTTCTCTATTGGGCCTGATCAAACTCAGCCCAAAAGAGACAATATGCACCTATCACCTGCAGGGATAGGCACGTGGGTCAGGTGCACAGGAAGCCAGGCAGCAGTTGAAGGCTGTGACCCGGCTGTCATACTGTTGATGGAGTGATACCCTCCAGATATACCTCCAAGGACCACACTAGCCATAGAACAAAACTTTTGAAGAGGGATTGGGCTGTCTCTTATTTCCACATTTCCCAGGAAGTGCTTAGTGGAAAAAAAGTTGTCACATTTAAGAAGGGGGCCTTTGGCTTGGCTGGCCCAGGGAACTCTGGTTTCCAGCTTCAGTGGGAATGTAAAAACAAGCATGTAGCAGAAGTCTAAGGAGGCCGTGGAGAAGGACTTCAGGTTGGTTTCAAGGAAGTTTTGGCAAACCGTCAGGAGACTCAGGAGGGGAAAGTGGAGCTTGGCTCAGATTTTTCTCAGTAGGGTTGAAGAATATTTGACCTAGACCATGGATATAGTCAGGCCGTGTAAAGAAAACTTTGAGGAACTCCTGAATACAAATGACAAATCCTCTGAGGAGGAGGCAGAGTCTAAAGACAAGGCGGAGGAATCATCTATATCCTTGGCAGCTGTGAAAGAGCTGTAGTAATCCTCAGTGTCAGTGGGAAGGTACCAGGTGTGAATGAAATTCATCCTGAAATGTCAAAGGCTCGGGACATAGTTGGGTTGTCTTGACTGACATGCCTTATTAGAGTTGTGCAAGGATCTTGAACAGTTCTTGTAGACTGGGAGTCATGGTAAAGAGGGAGCTGAACCAGAGGGAAAAGCTTTTTGTTTACTAGTCTATCTGTGTTTCAACACTCACCTAAGAGCATGAGCTTAAGAAACAACCAAAGGAATTGTACACGACATTGCAGGAGCTTGGAATACATTTACTACACCAACACATGAAAAAGAGTTACTAAAGGTAGTTTGATAAGGACACCAGCCACATTCAACAGGGAGTAGGCTCCAGGGTAGACCTCCAGCTTGCTGAAAAGCTTATCCAACTGGCCTGGCAACACCTAGGGAAGAGCTGGGAAGCATTGCTAGGAAATATGACAAGGTAAAAAAAAAAAAATGGGGGGGGTCTCCAAAAGACTTGGTCTCTCAGAAGTCAAGATTTACCATTTAGTTAAACACTGCATGATCAGATAGTTTAATATTAGAATAATGTTCTTTTGTAGTACATCGCATTGAATTGTGTATTTTATCTACAGCATTATACATTCAGTTATTCAAAACATTTGATAAAATCTCTACAAATGGGAAACAAGGCTGGAAATCCTACTGGGTGGCTGTGATCTTCGGGGCCTTCAAGCATCACTACTTTAAAAACAGACATGACTATGGAGAGAAAATCCCTGCATAGGCTCAAAACCTACTGCTGTCTACCAAAATTATACAGTAAGCCTACTGCTAAAAAAAAATAAATAAAAAAAACCGTCAATCTCTCAAAACTAGCAGGAGGAAAAATCATAAGTCCTGATACTTTTCTATGGCACACACATAAAAAGATGTCACAGATGATAAATGTGTGATGCAGCGCTGATTATAAAAAAACAAAGTTTGTGGTTCATATATTCCCAGCTGTCACTGAGGCACTTGTCAGTGCTATAACTCTCTCTGTCCTCATTGTCTTGTGACAGTTTCTCTTCTCAATTCCAGTAACACTCACAGGGTTCTTGCCACTCTTACACACCTGCACATTTCTGACCTGAACTCCTGTCATTCATCTCGTAGCTTAACAATGCCCTTTTTGGTTGGTGTCACCACTAAATATCCACTCCTGTGAAATGCCTCTGGACACATTCTCAACTCTCTTCCTTTTCAGACTGAAGATGTCCTTGTTCTGTCATCCAATAATATCGCCTGCATTGTTATGCTGATGACACTCAGCCTAACCTTAAAGTTTCCTTAGACACTACACACAGGCATTCATTTGTAGATGCCACATTGACACCTTCGAATGGATGCCTGCCTACCACCTCAAGCTCAGCTGTTACGGGGGTGAACTCCTTTTTTTCAAGGCTTTTTCCAACTCTTGAAAGATCCTTCCTATCATCGCCAGTGACACTGCAGTAACCCCTTCTGCCTGTCAACAATTTCACCGGAACTCCTGACAACCAGCCGTCACTCTTCATGCATTTGCCATTAGGACTACGACTCAAAACTGAACAATTTCATTCCGCATCTGCAAATTCAGAGCCTAACTGTGGAGATAGTGTGCAGGTATTTTATGAACAATCTTAACACACTTGCCAACCGTTTTTCAATGCACAGTTAGTTGAAAAGATACAAACAAAAAAAAATGTTGCTGATTATATTAGCATTAAGGTTGAGGTTGACTCTTCCTTGTAAGCTATCAAGTGACTGATTTTGTAACATATCTCACAGTTTTTTCAGATGTTTTCTTTCATTATCTTGTTCGCTAAAGACCAGACTGTGCAGCCTTATCAAATGTAGTATGTTGCTATGAAAAAATATACCAAATTTGTATTTATACTGTATTTACTCATCAAGATATACGTAGTGATGCGTACGTAGTGATGCCACCATTCAGTTAAGAAATGGCAAGGAATAACACTGTTTACCTAAAATAAGATCTTGTTCATTTGCGCCAATGAAAGGCTGTCACTCCACCCTTAAGACAAGTAATTGGAACATTTGATCTGTGGTCCCTTTGTAAGATTGGGTAGATTGATGGAGATTGCAAACGCATGGCTATACCATCATAATGTCCTGATATTGATATAATGTTACAACATTTGCATCTTTAAAAGACATCTTTCTGACATTGAAATGTCTCCAGTGGAAATCGTGTGGCTCTTAGCAACAACTTAGTAAGAATAAATGTCCCCAGGCTAATGCATTGTGGGATTTATGCTTTTGGAAATACAACTTGAATTAAGCAGGTAAACACACATCTTTCCTGCGTCCAGATACATGCAAATTGATCAAGTAAATAATTTTATTTGGTGAGAAAACATTAGTCAGAGGTCCTATTCATAGCTACATCATAAGAATTAAAAGATAGCTATTTCAAAAGGTTTATGTCTTTTACTTTGTGTTGTCAAATTATGATAGCCAATGATTGCTAATGGGTCCTGAGATTGTTCGGCCGAGATTCCAGTGCATGTATCTAACATTGTGTTTGTCAACTTACTTTGTTTCACTTTTTCATGTTCTTGGCAAGGTTTCTCTTGAAAAAGTGGTAATGATGCTAATCAGGCTTTGACAAGGTTAAACCTAACTGTTCTCCATGTAGAAATGACCTATAGGACTGCCAGGATGTAAAGTATTTAAAACAGAAGGTGAACCTGCAAAGTTCATTGTGTGCATCTGTGCATGGAGGCATGCTGTCAGTCGATGTCTTTAAAAACTTCAACATGATGGACAGAGAATCATGTCATCAACATCATTCTGTGGTGTATGCAGCATACTTCAACAAAGTCTACACCAGCCCTGTTAAGTTTCCTGTGACTCCCTATGTGTTCTTTAGGATCATGTTCCATTTAGTTTCTGCTAGCAGCATGGCTTTAACCTTATTTCTCTTCTCTCATCGCCTCAGGGCAAAAGGTAAATGGAGGATTCTATCAGACCAAACCCCAACGCTGCAAAAGGCTTTCAACTCCACCAATTGAACTCACACGCAGCAGAGCTGTCAAGCTAAGCTGCTGAGCCATGTGAAGGACCAGTGAGGGGGAAGGAAAATGCAGACGCCATTACTGTCTGTTTATGCCAACAGAAGAGGGAAGAGGGGAAAAAACAGGGTCATCGAGCAGAACAGAAGAAAATTGTGCTGTGATGCAAACAAAGAAAGTGTAAGCGAGGGGGGGCATCTTCTGAACCTAATCAGGTGCAGAAGCTTTGGCAGATAATGGTCAATTCAATTGTGTTATTGGCAGAGTATTACTCCTAGCATGTCTAAGAAAGTGCAAAGGTACACCTGCCTGCATGAAACTATGTCTTGCATTAGGCTTGAAGTGCAGTTTAACATCATGTAATTCTTTGTTATGATGTGTGTTATGGCCATTTCCTCCATCAAGGTTGTTTTGAAACCTTAATTGTGAACAATCTACTTTGATGCAACCGTAAGTATTCAAAAGGTACATTGTGTGGATTATAGGTCTAACACAATGTTTATATAGTCCTGTAGGACAGGCAACCCAGTAATAGTTTTTTTTTTTAATTTACTATGTTGTACATTGTGAATGACGGTGTGAGGGGATGAGGGCATGAGGGAAATGGACTCAACTTAATCCCAGGAGCTAACTATAAGTATGAATATTCAGCAGAAACAGCTGCTACATTTCCTACATGCTTTAATGAAGAGGTTTAATGATGATCAGTTGGTTATCATTTTAAATCATTTTATTCTTTTAAATACAGTGGCATCATAACCCATAAATACGTCAAACTGAAGTAATGCAAGCCAATGATATTACTTAACCAGCCACATAAGATATAATGTCAAAATCACTTGCGCATTCCTGCTGCTTGTATCAGTGAAAATGAATTTGAATCAGTTTTAAAAGATCCCATATAATGAAAAACAGGTTTTTCCTTGCACATATAATAAACAACACTTTTGTCATCCTCCACCCGAGCAGCACTGAGAAAGTAGAAGCAAAACAGCCTCTGCATAGCTTCTTTGGCCCACCTACTGGGAAAACATTGTTTCTAAACAGCAATTTGAATTGGCTCCTGTGGTGATGTCACAACAGGAGGGATCTGTTTAGGTTTGCATGCAAAACCTCTAAATGGATTTTCTTATTTGAATTTTTTACAGATGGCATGGCTTAAAGCAGTATTTCAAAATCTAAAACATTTCTAGAAAATATGTTAATGACGTTAAACTTCATTAGACTGAGGCACATGAGTTATTGCTCAAGGGATTTAATCAGGGCAATAAAAAGTAATAATGTATGTGCATCTTTGTGTGCATGTGTTGCACTCCCTTACCTGGGGGCAACTGTGAGCTCTTGCAGCAAATGTTAATAGAGAAAGCTGGATAAACACTGCTTTTTTTTTCTCTTGCACAGAGTAAAGACAGATAATTTGTGTCACATGAGCTTTAATTGTATGAAGATTTCGCAAGTGTAAACACAAGACCTGGTATGCATGACTCTGGTTAAGTTTTCTGTTCAAAGACACACATAAATTTGTATCAGCAAAAAAAAAACATTGTTTCAATCACTCCCTACTTTTTAGTTTGTGCATTCAAATTTGTCATTCTGCCTCAGGGCATCTAGGAAAACAAGGCCTGTTAAGAGACTGTGTCCAGACGGCCTTCTGACTCTGCAGGAAAGCAGATGGTTTTTAATAATGCCCTACTCTCAGCTTCATGCCCCCCAGCTAGCCAGCCGCACAAATGCACACACATTACATACAATCTCTATCTCTTCCCCTCTCTTTTCCTCACATACACACACACGTAGACACACACAGAGAGACCCTTTGCTAGTGTTGCCAGGTTTACAGCTTTCCTGCCAAATTGGGCTTTAGTAGAAAATTCAGTCATGGATTAAAGCGGTGTAGTTGATGCCATGTTATTGTGGTCAAAAGAAAGGTCTCGCTAAAAGATCATAGTGTACATGCTAGGAGGGCACATTGACTCTGGAGTTGGTATCTGGCAAACCAAGGCCAGCACCGGCAGTGCTTCCTGCTCGTGAGGGCATCTCAGTGCTGGTGGTGCCTGCAGCCACAACACACTGTCATAGAATAGAAAGAAGACATGAGAGAACAACAGAGAGAGAGTATTCAACCACCAATTCAGCAAGCGAATACCTATCAACAAGGAGTGTTAAGATACTGCTTATTTAACTACCAGTTAAAGTGTGTCTGGTATTGTTTGATTTAATTGCGTGTTTGTGAGGAAACAGAGGAGTGAATAACAACCTCACGTTCAGTGTTTTTTTTTTATTCTCCACTTTGTGCAGGGATTAAAATACTACTTACAATTGATGCTCGCCCAAGACAACATTTTATGCATGCACACACACCATAGCTGTGTCCCAATCCAGGGTCTGCAGCCCACAAAGGCTACAAAAACCGAATGCATCACAGCAGTACGTCAAAGGCTGTCGCAATTCAAAGGCTCCTCCAGTGTACAGCCAACAAATCTGTCCTTCTTTTCCCGGGTCATGAAAGCTGCATTAGGTGCAAACTTTGCAGCCCAACATATCCTCTGATTTTCTTTGCATGCTAATAAAGATTACATCAAACTGCATACTGGATGCAACAATTACACAGGTTACTTTCTCAAAATGGCTTAAAAGCCCAGCATTTCCATGATGCTTGACGTAGATGCAATGCTGACCAGGAAACAGGGGAAAAAAAATAGTGTGGCCAATAGGATGCATTAGCCGGTTATACTAGCAGTCAGTATTGGGGGAAATAATGCAAAAATTTGCAGTAAGGGTTTCTTTAAACCTGTAGCAACAGGCAAATAACTGCTGACACCTTCCTCCAAATAACTTAACTAAATGTGTCTTTTCAAGTGACGTCAGGTCCAAGACATTGACAGCTTCAGCTTCTTAAGCCATTCCCTTCCTGTGTGTTTCTTTAGCATTAAGCTGTGTAAAATGTCCAGCTGTTACTTTGAAGTAATCCTCATATTCAGTGAGGGTCAGCCTCTCTCTCACTTCAAAGTAAAATGCAAGTAGGGACGGGGAAATATGCCAGACATCAAGAGCATTTGCGAGAAAGCATTGAAAAACATCCTGTACAGATGTGCACAGGGACGGTAGGCCAGCGTCATCAGCTGTAGCTGCTGCATCTCAATCCCTTAAAAAAGCCACATTCTTAACCGTGTTACCATGATGTCTGCCTAACATGAGATATTTTCAGATGTCTGTGCAGTCTAATTCATCTATAATGCTGTTTTAATATATTGTCAGTTTTGCTTTTTCACCAAACAAGCATGATTTCATTTTCATTTCACTGTGGCCCATGAAAAAAATCCACGTGGGCCCTTGCAAACCTGGGCAGGAGACGACTGTTGGGCTCCATTACGCTGCTGAATCGGAGTAGAAATCATGGATTGGCCCATATATGTCATCTTATGAGACATGATCTTCAATGGACTAAGAAATACTTTTCAAGTATACATCAGGTTTGAAGGATGTGCACGAAGGTATCTTGGCTTTCAACCTGGCAGTGTAGTTTTTGGCAGACTGCCATTGTACTTTTATCTTCTCTCATCTGCTAAATAAATCAATAAAGCCTCTGCATTGTTGTGCACACCTCGATTTGTCTGTCAAGAAAAATAATATATTTTGTCTTTTGTGCAAAGAAACTCTCAGATAGAAAGAAAACATAATTACCGAAGATTGGCTCCTACCATGGTATAATCTACAGTACACTGAGTGCATATATTAAAGTACATTTATTCCTTGTATAAGACTGCGCCCTCTCATTGAAGCTTATTCATAGTACTCTAAAGGATTTGAAATATAGTTTTTGACATTGGATGGTGCTTGAATACAATCAGGAATGAGATGCAGACAATAACCAGCAGCACTTTGGACACCAAGGACAACATTAAGTAGTCCAAGCCCAACGAAACACCAAGAACTGAAGGCTGCACTGGAATATAGCTTTCAAGAAAGAGAACGAAATCCCCCTGTATCCATCCTCCTACACTCATTTACATAAAAAAAAAAACCTTGTCTCTGCCTATCTAGTTAGACAGCCAAATGTCCCAGGCGTGAGACAGCTCCCAGGTGTTGATCCTAAAATACGCAAATCCATCAACATGGCGGCTGGAGAAGGACGTTTCAAAATGCTCTTGAGGTGACTCCTCTCCCAAATTAAAACTCTTTGACTAATGTTTCTATTAATTACTATATCTCACCGGGATGACATTTAGACTGAGGAGGACATGTTGCTCATTCATGCGAGTGCGATAAGTTTATTAAAGATTAAAATCAAGGATATATGAGAGGGAATCATTCTTTAACAAAATATGCCTGAAGCTTTTCTGTCCTGAGGGGAGCAGCGTGAACATGTCGTGAATATAGTCCTGTTAGGCTGTGAAGTCTTTTATCTCGGAGTGCCTCTAGCTCAAGAAATAAATAAATAAATAAAACTTTTCAGTGAATGATGGCCCCCCGAAAGTGTCGGCTTCACAAGTTTGGTCATGGACTACCAATACGCTGTCACAGTCAAAGTCTTGTAAAGGAGTATTGTTTTGGAGGGCAGGGATTTTTTTGGACGCCGAGCAGGAAAAGCTCAGGTGAAAATTAAAGCTGCTTTTAGTTCAGATGTTCTAGTTTGCAGCATGCTGGCTCAGTGGAATTACTTATTGGGACATTTGCATTGGATAGAGCCATCATCATTGTTATTACTTTCACCTGTGTTTTCCCTGCACAGTTAAAATGTTTGCTGGGAAATGGGCCTATTGTGCGGCGATAAATCAGGGGCTGCGCCTGCCTGACTGAAACAAACCACAACAGAGAGAATTGGAAATCTTTTCTGGGCCATTGCAACCTTTACACATGCTTCTGTACTGTTTGGAACAGGTGTTTTACATGGATAAACATAACTGCAGATATATTTTACCACGAACAAAAACAGTGTTACAAATTACAGTCTCTCACTTCATGCAGCATTGCGACGCCATTTGTGAAAAAAGGCAGAAAGCAGATAATGACCTTATTCATGGCAGCAGAAGTTTT